CAAGCATGCTAAAGAATGTATTTTTTAGCCGAAACATTACGTGTAATCTTATTTTAAAATGATGACATTTCAAATAATTGATTACAACATGCCACAAAGTAAGATTTTCTACAGTCCTAATAGCAGTCATTATTGAAATATTGTTTCAATCATGCACATCGAGGTCACAAACCTCATGCACACTTTATCAAAGAGCATCATTTTGTAACTCATCTGATTACTTTTAGCATGCTAACACATGCTTAAGTACATTAAAGGATCTGACTAACAACTCGTACATGCATACCTCCCCTACAAAATGTCTGACCTTAAAAATTGTTGATGTCCCTGCATGCCATAAGTTATTTAGCCACTCAAGAATAACCGTTAAGTTTAACTGACATGCAAATCCAAATAAACCATGATGAGAAGCGATTGAGGTTTCAGTAACACCCGACCGCATGGTTTATCTTTGCCCTGTGAGCACATGCAGGCCTCATCTGTGTGCATTCAGCACAGATACACAGCCCTCTGTTCTCTGATCAGCCTCTCACAGATAAGGGCAGTGGATCTCTGAGATTATTGAGCTAGTGCAGCCTTCACGTTAGGAATAACTGAGTACAGTCATGATGAATGCCTCGTCAGAGAAAGCATCAACGAGTCTCGCTGCACTGGATCAGTAAGGCTCAGAGAGTTTCAGGCATCAAGGACGGGACGGATCGAGCCCAGTGTGCACAGGCACATCACACATGGATACCTCTGCTTACTGCCAGTATGAATCCGGAAGAAACCCCTCTTTTTAGATACGAGCTGACTGAAGAGACACATAAGGGAGAGGGAGGGATTCGTGAGGGGTTGTGAGGGTTAGTCGGCTGTGCCAGGACGCACGTGTTACACTTGTTTTTAGTGTGCATTTTCGGGCAAACATTAAAATTTATCAGACACAATTCACATGGATCTTGTTCTTGTAAGTGGATTTGAATCCAACTCAGTTTGTGTAGCTTAAAGATAAACTATGTAACTTTTGGCGCTCCAGCGGTTAATAAACAAAACTGCATGCATCTTGCAGAAGAACATAGCCGGAGCTACTTCTCTCTGTTTATGTCAATGACAAGTGGATTCTCCACTTTGGTGGGCGACTCGGTCTATAACAGTCCTTATTTGTCACACTTTAGATTAGGGTCCAATTCTCACTATTAACTATGACTTTTGCCTCCATAAACTCCTAATTACTGCTTACTAGTTAGTAAGGTAGTTGTTCAGTTTAGGTATTTGGAAGGATTAAGGGATGTAGAATATGGTCATGCAGGATAAGGCATTAACGTGTGCTTTATAATGGTGCGTTCACACCGGACTCGAATAGTGCGTCAGGCGCGAATGATTTCAAGTCGATGCAAAGACGCATTATGCACGTAAAAAATTCCTGCGGCGCGAATGAGGCGTAGAGCGTAGCGCGGTAAACGCAAATGATTTAGTTGAGACTGATCTCATGAAGTAGCGTGTGTATGACACGCCAATTCGTATTTCCATTTTTGGCGTGCTATCAGCACGCATAATCGCTTTTCAGCGTGTTTATGAACGCCGTTGACTTAACGTTATTACTGTATATATAAATATATGACTTAACTCAACCCCATCCCTAAACCTACCCGTCACTGGGGTTAATTGCATTTATGAGTCTTCCCCTACCATCCTAGGAAAAAAAAATTGCTCCCTAAATGTAGATCCACAGTTTGCTTCGTTTCGCTCGGACATTTGACGGCGTGTACAGACACGCGGAATCACTCGGACATTAATGGCGTAGACATACACGCATACACGCGGATACACGCAGATAGCTCAAAATGTGTAGAGATAACACGCCACTTGACTCGAAATTGGCGTGTATGTTTACGCAAAAGTCGTGATGTCATGTTGTTTAGTTAGTGCTATTTGTGCATTCACTCGTTTGACGCGAATTCACATTGAAAAACTGAACTTTGGCGTCAATTCGCGCTGTGGTGAAGGATCTGGATGCTTCAATAAATTATTTTGTAATATGACTAAATGCCTGTGTGGCACAACAAAGCAAATATTTTATCAATTAAAACTTTATTTCAATATACGAGATATGTTCATTCTGTATTGAATGTTATTTATTCCATATCTAGATTATATGAAATATTATTATGATGTAAAGACAACCAACATACATGTGCATAAGTTTGTGTCTGAACATGAGATAAAAAAAAATCACAGGACAGGTTAATAACTTTTGGAGACTGGCTCTATTTATCATCAAAACAAATGACAGATTAGTGGATGAGGGCGAGGGTGATCCTCGCACTGATGCGGGACAACAATTCATCAAACTGGGTGCGGGATAGGCGGAAGTACCGCTGACAGCAGCCGTCATACAGGCGCAGCTCCTGGAGCGAGGAAATGGTGAAACTCGCCAAACGGTTCGCCTCTGAAGGGTCCAGTGGACACAAAAATGGCGACGATGCCGCTGTTCTGCTCTCCAGAGCAAATACAGAGCGGTGACTCTCTCGATGAATGCTCGATCAACATAAAAAATATGGCCGCCAACGGGTTTCGATTCTGACGCGTGAGACGCACGTAATTTCCGCTTAAAACTTCATTTTTATACCCGCGAATTAACACAAAGTGGTCAAGCCTCAAACTAGACGCGGTAGACGCGAATTTGATGAGCTATTCACGTCCTGTGGGAACATGATGTAGTCCCTCATTATGTAAATGTTATACAATTTAAACAAAAAGTTACATAGTGTACCTTTAATGTAATAACTTAAATGCAAGTTTTTCATTCTAAAGAACAGTTCATCCAAAAATGCAAGTTTGATCCTCATGTACTCAAAACTAGTATGAATTTCTTTCTTCTGTGGGACACAAAAGGAGATGTTTTGATGCTTTTTTCCATACAATGAAAGTCAACGGGGACTGGGGCGATCAAGCTCTAAAAATGAAAGTAGTAAACAAAAAGTAGTCCATGCAGACATCTGTGATATATTTCAAGCTAAAATACTGTATATAGCTTTGTGTGAGGAACACGCCAAAATTTAAGCTGCTATTTGCTTACACTGCATTCACAGCATGTCGTAATGTACCGTAATCACGAGATGAAAACAAAAATGAATTTGCAGTGGTCAAGTGGTACAAGTCGGAGAAATTTTAAAGGTAAAAAGTTATATTTACGAGTCCTATGAAGACATGAACGCTTTTTACAAGTCGGAATCTCATAATTATGGCGTGAACGCACCTTAAAATCCATCCGCTGTTGCTTTCAAAACTCATATAACAAATCTATCGTATGGCTCCAGCACACAACATGTATGGACCAGTTATAATGGCTTTTTTTCTAATTTTTTTGTTCGTTCTTAACAGCTCCAATTTACTTTAATTGTTAATACTGCTAAATATATCTCTATCTGTGTTCCACAGATGAATAAAAATCATACAGGTTTAGAGCAACATCAGGCTCGCTGTTCCCTTTGGGCAATAACGTGCACTTCAAAACAAAGTGTAACTTAAAAATAAGTGGAGAAATAAGTGCTTTTGGACAAAGGGTTGATGGGCTCACAACACACACAATCAGGATCAGCCTTTCAGAACATCTCTGGTCTTTTTTTTTTTTGCACTGAAATGAAAAACTGCCCCAGGATCAATTTTAGGGATACAACATGTGCAACTTATAGGGGTGAAAGGTCATTTAGAGGAAGTTGAATGAGGCGGCAGGGATAGGGTGGCATGCAGAAACTGGCCACTAGAGGTCAATGCATCTGAATGCAGCCAAACCATCATCACCGTTCATTTTAACATCGTCACTCGAAACAAAAAGCACCTC